TCCCAGGTATGATAAAGTTTGAAACACAAAATCATAAATTATAATATAATAAATAATTATAAAAAATATAATTTTATTCAAAAATGTAATCAAATAAAAAACACTGCAATTTGTCATCAGCCGGCGTTCTTGTCGGCGATGACAGGAGGACACCGCAGGATCGCAGGGAGCAGGTAAGGGACTTCTCTGGGACACTGCAGTGTAATCCCGAGTGTGGCTCAGGGTTACCACTTCTGGCAGTGAAAATTCACCCCGAGCCACACTCGGGATTACCGCCAGGGTAGTTAAACACTCACTTGTGGGCACTGGTGCTGCTCAAACCAAAAGCAGTTTTCCTAGGTCATTAACACACCACACTTAAAGGATACTTCTCCATTTGTCCAAGGTGCTTGTGACATCCAGCCAGTTGCTTCCTCGTATGTGTGACAGGTAGTGCCCAGCCCTCAGCCAGGTAGTTCTTCAACGCTCCTTGAAGATAGATTTCCGCCTTTTGTGGAGACTTTTTCTTCCTTGCAAATCAACAAACATAAGTTTTCATTATGTATGGCTCATGATAATCAACAAATAGACGTCCTCTTCCACGACACGCACTCCACCCTTCACAGGCCCCACACACCACGACCTTGCACCATCGTCAGACATCCTCTGACCCCTGCCCTGGTGTGAGAAAGAACACGACATCAGGGGCACAGACTGAGAACCGGGTTCACAGCAACAACCCCACAGTTGGCCTGGCATCATACACTAGCCAGAGAACTTTCACAGCTGAATCTCAGGATCTGGAAGTAAGGGCCGCGTTCACTGTTTCAAGCTGATACGTAAGGATGCCAAGGGGAAAAGAAGGAAGATGTGTCCACAGGTCCACGGCCAGTTAGCGAGGCAGCTGCGACACCAGGGCCCAGTGCTGCCTACCTATTGAAGACAGGTTACACAGATGCAGTCTATATGGCCCAGTCGAGAGGGGAGCTTGGGTCAACTCTGCAATTCAGGCAAACAGCACTGAGCAGCTTTCCAAGACTTACAGAGAACTATGAAGAATTTAAGTAGCAACACTTTGTCACCCAGGGGAGGATCTTCGCAGTCCCAATTTAGAGCTTCAAGATGTTCAGCACAGAACAAAGTTTAAAGCACCATGAGCGAGAGCTTACCAAAGCCTCAAAGAACATGGGTCCCCTGACCCTCCCCAGAGTGCTGGGACCACCGAAGTCACCAAAGGCTAACACTGAACAGGCCCCGTGGAAGGCAGCCTGGTGCTCACCACACTGCTCTTGAAGCAATAACACTCCTCAAATTCTCAAATCAAGTAAGTTCTAAACCTATCCAACTGCATGTTAGTTTTTCTGCACTTTTATGGTCCTTTCCTACCCCTCCTCCACTTTTAAAACAGTCTGAACCTGTAGTACTTATTCAGTAAGTACCCCTAGCCAAAGATCTTCCGTCCCACAGAGCCTGCATCACCCGGCCTGAGACAGAGGCTGGCGGTCACGCAGCCAGTCTACGGCCCAGCTGGACCCAGGGCAGCGTCTTCCCACTGTAGCTCCTCGCCTCGGAATGAACCAGTGTCAGGTGGGCTCCACACACAGCATCTAGGATCAGCTGCTTTGCTCCATTAACTACTAACTTACTCCTGAGATCACTAGATAGATGCAGGCTCATGAGAGCCAAATTCTCCCTGACTCTGCCATGAATGAGCTGTGTGACACCTGAATCGGTACCTAATTCCTATCTACATAAACGTCTTTAATTCTTCTATCTACGCTTATGAGTTAGAAGTGTAGCTCTAGAACTCAGTAACGATATCCATATGCAAAACAATACCCTGGAATAAGATAACAGGTTTTGTTGAACTTAATGAATTTGTAACAACCAAGAGTTCTTGGCCTTCTATGATGCGTAAATATCGTACATTTGTTACCAGTACATAAAATTTCTTGAACCTTGTATTTATTCTTGTGTTTTGTAATTATTTGTTACATAAACTCTCTCATACCTTAATATGTTAAAAATGCTAAAATTCTTTATACCAAAAAAAACAAGTATTTAAATATAGACAAATAAAAATTTGAATTAAAAAAATTAAAACAAGGGCCGGCCGAGTCGCACGTTGGTTAAGAGTTGGCTTAGGATGCCAGCTCTGAGCAGCAGGGCCCAATGAGGGCCAGTGACACTGCGCTCTCTACAGCTAAGATGGTGAACAACAGCTCAACCTGGAGCTGGGCTGCCATGAGTCGCCGGCAACGGCATAGGCTGCAGTGGGGCTGGCCAGCAGCTGGAGTGAGCTTTCATGAGCTGCTGTAAGCGGCCATCCAATGGCCGGCAAGCGACTGCCTCATCCGAGAAAAGCACAACGATAATACCAACATGGGCCATTGAAGCGACGTCCTCCACAACTAGACTGAAGAACAAACGGACAGCAACTTGTCTGTTCCCCTCCCCCAATAAAAAAAAATTCTTTAAAAAA